CTTCGTCTGGGGCACTTGGGTGACTCAGTCATTTGAGTGTCTGACTCTTGATTTTGGCTCAGGTCATGATCCCAGGGTTGTGGGATCGAGCCCTGCTTCAGGCTCCTCGCCTGCTTAAGATTCTCTGTCCCTCTGTCTCCCTCCTTCCCTCTCCTTCTCTCCCTCCCTCCCTCTCCTTCTCTCCCTCTCTCCCTCTCCTTCTCTCCCTCCCTCCCTCTCTCTCTCCCTCTCTCTCTTTTTCCTGTTTGCATGCTTTCTCTCTCTCAAACTAAAAAAAAAAAAATTTGTATAACATAAAGTTTGTCAGTATCCACAAAATAACTTGGTGGGATTTTTGACTGAGATGGCACTGAATCTAAAACTGGAAAGAATTGACATCTCAACAATACTGTTTCTTCCTATCAACAAACATGCAGTATCTTTGTATGTATTTAGTTATTTGATTTCATTCAGTTGAGTTTTGTAATTTTCCTCATATAGTTCTAATACATATTTTTTAGGTTTAGGTTTTAAGTGTATCATTTTTGAGGGTGCTAATGTAAATATTACTGTTTTTAATTTCAAATTCTACTTGTTCATTTTTTATATATAGGGAAGAAATTGACTTTCTTGTATGATTCTTGTATCCTTCAACCTTGCTGTAATTGCTTATTAGCTCCAGGAATTTTTTTAATCAGTTCTCTTGGATCTTCCACATAAATGATCATGTCGTCTGTGAACAAAAAGGTTTATGTCTTCCTTCCTTCCAATCTGTATCTTTCATTACCTTTCCTTTCCTTAATTGTTTTAGCACAGAATTCCCTTAAGATTTTGAGTGGTCAGGGGCGCCTGGGTGGCTTAGTCAGTTAGGCGTCCGACTTTCACTTAGGTCATGATCTCGCGGTTCGTGGGTTCGAGCCCCGCGTCGGGCTCTGTGCTGACTGCCAGCCCAGAGCCTGGAGCCTGTTTCAGAGTCTGTGACTCCTTCTCTCTCTGACCCTGCCCTGCTCACGCTCTCTCTCTCTCTCCAAGAAATAAATAAAACATTTAAAAAAAATTTTTTTTTTTAAATGAAAAGGAGTGGTCAGCTGAGACATCCTTTCTTTACTTGATCTTAGTTGGAAAGTTTCTAGTTTCTTACCATTAAGTATGATGTTATAGCTTAGGTTTATTTTAGGAAGTCTTATCAAGTTGAGAAAGTTTCCCTGTCTTCCTACTATAGTAAAAGTTTTATTATTAAGGGGTATTACATTATATTTCTTTTGAGATTTCTTGTTTGATTCATGTTTTATTTATTGGTGTGTTATTTTCTCTCCAGGCATTTTAGGATTTTTCCAGTAGTTCTTTTGTTACTGATTTCTAGATTAATTCATTGTGCTTTGAGAGTAGATATTATATGATTTCTATCCTTTGAAATTTGTGAAGGTGTGTTTTATGACTGAGAATAGGGTCTATCTTGGTGAATGTTCCAAATGAGCTTGAAAAAAATGTATTTTTTCATGTTGTAAGAAGTAATCTGTAAAGGTCAGTTATATCCATTTGATCAATGATATTGTTGAATTCAGTTATGTCCTTAATAATCTTCTGTGTGCTGAATTTTTCCATTTTGGATAGAGGAGTGTTGAAGTCTCCAACTGTCGTAGTGTATTCATATGTACCTCTTTGTTGTAATTCTGCCAGTTTTTGCCTTTTGTAATTTAATGCTCTCTTGCAAGGTGCATACACATTTGAGATTTCGTACTGTCCTCTTGAAGAATTTACCACTTTATCATTGTGGAATGCTCTTTATCCCTGATAACTTTATTTGCTTTAATGTCTGTTCTTTTTGAAATTATTAGAACTACTCTCTTTTTTGTTCCTTTAAGATATAATTGACAGGGACGCCTGGATGGCTCGGTCGGTTAAGCGTCCGACTTCGGCTCAGGTCATGATCTCACAGTTTGTGGTTCGAGCCCCGTGTCGGGCTCTGTGCTGACCGCTCGGAGCCTGGAGCCTTCTTTGGATTCTGTTCCTCCCTCTCTCTCTCTCTCTCTGCCTCTCCCCTGCTCAAGCTCTGTCCCTCTGTCCCTCTCTCAAAAATAAACATTTAAAAACATTTAAGATATAATTGACATATAACATTATATTAGTTTCAGGTGTACACAGATGATTAAATATTTGTATATATTGCAAAATGGTCACCACTATAAATCTGGACCATTTCATCACTACACATAATTATAATTTTTTTTTCTTGGGATGAGAACTTTTAAGATCTGTTTCAGCAACTTTTAAATATGTGATACAGTATTATTACCTATAGTCCTCATGATGGCCCTCACATCCCTAGTACTCTTGCTTCTCTTGATTAGTCTTGCCATGGTATATTTTTATCCATCTGTTTACATCTAGCCTATATATGCCTTTATATTTAAACAACATATTGATGTATCTTGTTTTTTGATCCACTCTGACAATGTGTATTTAATTGTTGCATTTAGCCCATTGCCATTTTTAAAGGATTTTTGATATGTTTGCATTAATAACTGCCATATTCATTATATTTTTTATTTGTTGCCCTTGTTCTTTGTTTTCATTTTTGTATTTCATTCTTTTTCTGCCATTTGTTGTCTTAATTGAGCGTTTTATGTGATCTCATTTTCTCTCCTTAACATCAGTTTTATTTCTTTTATAAAAATTTTTTTAGTGATTGCTCTAGAGTTTGCAATTCTATTTACATTAATCCAAGTATATTTCCAAATGATAGTATACCATGTCACAGGTAGTGTGAGTACCTTATAATCATGAAATAATACTAATATCTTCCTCCTGTCCCTTGTATCATTGCTGTCAATCATTTTATAAACATACAGAAGTATATGTGTGTGTGTGTGTGTGTGTGTGTGTGTGTGTGTATGAATGATGGGTACATAAGCATACATAATTGCATACATTGTTGTTTTTGTTATTTTGAACAAAAAGTTATATGTTAAATCAGTTAAGAATATGAAAAATCAAGTTTTTATTTTATTGTCACTTATTCCTTCTTCATTGCTTTTCCTTTCTTTATATAGATCCAAGTTTCTGGGCTATATTATTTTTTCTTTTAACATTTCTTGCAAGGCAGATCTCATGACAATAAAGTCCCCCTGTTTTTATTTGAGAATGTCTTTATTTCTCATTCATTTTTTAAAGGTTGGTTTCAAAAATACAAAATATAGGGCTGGTGGTTTTTTCTTTCAACACTCTTTTCTTGCTTTATAGTTTCTGAGAATTTGAATGTAACTCTTCTTACCTTTGTTCCTCTATAGGTAAGGTGTTTTTTCTTTTGGCTTCTTTCAAGATTTTTTCTTTATCTTTGATTTTCTGTAATTTAAAAGTGATATGCCTAGGTGTGGTTTTTAAGGCATTTATCCTGCTTATGTTCTCTTGGTTTTCCTTGATCTGTGCTTTGATGTTTGATGTTAATTTGGGGAATTCCTTTCGTTATTTTGGTTTTAAACATTTCTTATGTTACTTTCTGTTCTCCTTCTGGTATTTTCATTGCCGTATGTTACTGTATTTGCATCTTTTGTAGCTGTCCCACAGTTCTTGGATAGTCTGTTCTTTGTATAGCCTTTTCTCTTTGCATTATGAGTTTTGAGGATTTTACTGATATATCCTCTATCTTAGAGATTATTTCCTCAGCTTTGTCCAGCGTACTAATAAGGTAATGAAATATATTGTTCCTGTTGTAGTGTTTTTTACCCATAGCATTTTCTTGGGGTTCTTTCTTATGATTTCCATCTCTGTATTTACATTGCCCATCTGTTCTTAAATGCTTTTTATTTTATTCTCTAGAGTCTTTAGCATATTAATTATACATGTTTTAAGTCCCCAGTCTGATCATTCCAGCATCTGTTCCATGTCCAGTTCTGCTGTGTCTTCACATCGTGTTTTTGCCTTTTAATATGCCTTGTAACTTTTTCTTGATAACCAGATATATCCTATTAAAAGGAACTGCTGTAAATAGGCTATTAGTGATGTTGTGAAGTGCTGGGGGAAGGCAAGTGTTCTGTATCCTATGATTAGCTCTGTTTTTGTGAGCCTGTGCCTCTAGACTGTGAGCTTCACAAGTGTTTCTTGGTTTTTTTCTCCCTGCTAGGTGGGATAGAATGGTTAGAGTGAGCTGGAGTTGCTTTGGTTTCCCCAGGCTAGTTAAGCTCTGGTAGCACCCCAGCAGGTTAGGATTTGTTTAACTAGTTACTCCTGAAGGACCTTATTAAGAACAGAGTGCTCTGGTGTATTTCAAGATGGTTCCTTTTTCCCTTCTCTTCCTGGAAACCCAAGGGTATTTTTCTCTGACATTTACCATGCCAATCTGGTTGAGCTCTTAGGGGTAAATCTTACAATATTGCAGGAGCCCTCGGTATAACTGGGTCCCTCTGGAATTTTTAACTCTTGCAGTTGGCTACACGGAGCCTCCAACAGTTCTTAAATTACAGTTCAGGTTTTACTGCCTTGGCACTGTCTCCTCTGGTGGTTTCTGCCCAGGTCAGCCGCAGCTCTCTGCATCACTTGCTGGTCTCTCAGACCTTGAGGGTAGCAGTTTACCCTGCACCCTCCCCTCTCTTATGGATCCAAGAAGAGTTGTTGATTTTTCAGTCTGTTGACTTTTTTACTTAATACAATGGAGTGGTGATTTCTAAGTTCTTACAGAACCAGAGATTTTAAAAGTAAATAACTATGTTGTTGATATATCTTGAAATTTTAATTTGTGACATGTGTTTTTATGTATTTCTCTAGAGCTAAAAATTGGGAAATGTATAGTTCTCAGCACATGTTCTGATAAAACTTTCTTCAGTTGAGTATATAGATTCTAATTATTTTTTCATGAAGCACCAAAATCTTCATAATCTTTATATAATGTGTGTATATATGATTAAATGTTTAGATGTTACTATATATACAGTTTAAAGGTTATTTTTTAATTATTTTCTTAAGTTACTGTTTTATCTTTATTCAGTATTATTAACTCTCCAATTCATTCTCTTTTTATCCAGGTTGAAGATTGTAAAAATTTCTTTTAAGTGCAAACAGTTTTTTATTCAACTTAGAAAAGAATTGGTGAGTGGTGATCTTAACCATTATTGATATATAAATAATATTTATATAAACAAATGGTATTTAAATAAATGAAGTCTTATTAAGAAATGAAGTAATTCGCGGCCAAACTTTCAGTGTGAATGGAGTATTACATTATATGGTTGATAACGGCCCACTGATTAATTCACAATTTAGGACAATGTTTATTTCCTGGCTGTTACTGTGGTTCTGATCTAAAGTTCTTGTAAATATCCATTCTGTTCAATATGAACTTTGAAACTGATCCTCAGTTGTAATGTTCATTGTCAGTTGCCAGGGTCTAGTCATGGGTGGTTACTGAGCATTTTATAGGTTCTTCTTTTTTTTAAATTCTTACTGATCTATAACACTTTCTTTCATATATAAGCTCATTTCATTTTAGGGAGACTGAGTGTTTAGTTTTGTTTCTAGTTCATGAATGTATAGTACATTTCCTCCCTTTGTGTGAATGCTGGTGTCCTTTTTGTATATTAAATACAACACAATGCGTTACCATGGGAAGTACAGTGTTGGAAAGAATTTCATCTTGTAAATGATTTTATCTCTTTAACCAAATTAAACTAATTTTATCCTTTGCTTAAATTATTTCTTAGAAATTGTAACAAATCAGTGCAGATTTCAAGGTAGTTGTGTGTGTATATGTGTGAAATGTATTTGAAACCTTAAAAATATTTGAATCAGCTGCATTTTATCAGAGGGTAGTGATCTACTAAGTAACTGTGATTTTTCTCTTAGCCTCACAAAATATGAAAGTTTTTTTCTGTAGAGTTTTACTGAACTACACAGAAAACCATATAAATATTAAGTATACTGTTTGGTAAGTATGTAATAAATATATAATGTTAATATGTAGAACATTCCTGGCACCTTGGTTTTATTGCTGATGGATCTGATACTCATTTGCTGTCATTGACCTTTCTGAAAGGTAAATACTGATCGCATTTGTATCACCATGGATTAGTTTGCCTATTTTTGAACTTTAAAAAATGAATCATACATAATGTTCTCCTACTTTCTAACCTTAACGTTGTGAGATTCATCCATGTTGTTGCACGTAGCAATCGTTTGTTCTATTGCTGTTGACTGAATGTTCCTTAAATTATATATTCTTATGTTAGTGGACACTTCTGGCATTTCCAGGTTGTGGCTATTACAACTAATGCTGCTAATGAACATTTTTGAACATGTTTCAAAAAATCTTATCTGGAAACCTCTACTTCCCTAAACAAATACTTTAAATCATTATATTGGTAGAAGTCAATGTAGAAGTCAACTTTCTAATTTTTTTCCTATTAATAGTACTACTGTTATTAGTTATAGTAGTTGTGGTATTTAACATTTATTGAGGTCTTACTCTGTGTCTGATAATCACACAATCATTATCATAGCATTTAATCCTCAAACCATTCTCTGAGGTAGTATATCATTTAGGAACATGTTTAGCCACAGGTGATAACTGATCCAAGACTGTATATGGTCATAGTCTGTAGAATGTCATCTTGTTAACGTTTCTGTCTGAAACATCTTGTTAAATACCCAAACTTTAGGGGAAACAACTTATCTCTTAATACAACATTTTGTGTCTGTTGTTTACAAAATGGGGCGGGGGTGGATTTTGTTATAATTTATTACAGATTGTCCAAGTACAATTGGTAGAATGTCAGCATCACACATAAACTTTTGAAGTACGCGAAGTGTCAGCAAAGGTAGAACATAAATGGTTCTTAGGTGTTGCTTCTGCTGAGAAGTATTACTGTGTAATGCTCAGTGTGAGACCTAATCATTATTTATGGAGTATGGTACACCATGTAAACTATTTGTTAGTGCATACAAGGCCACTGTTAAGCACAGTTAAGAATTTTTTGGTGATCAGGAAGTGGTATTTTAAGCATATTATCTTCTAAAATAGTAGCTTAATATTATATGTAGGCATCTTACTGTATTTTAGTTATGGAAATCTATCATATCTTTTGATAGGCAAACATTTCTTTAATAGGACATAGAAAGAAAACCGAAAAGAAAAGATCAATAACTTGGAATGTGTTAAAATTAAGAACTGTATTCATCAAAAGATAGCATTAAGGGAGTGAAATAGCACAGAGTGTATATATAATACACACGCACCCACATGTGCATATGCACCACATCCTTGGTTATATATCCAACCCAGGTATGCTACTGACTTTAACAAATACTTGGGAAATGAGGACATTCACATGTCCAGTAATGTGAGAAGGTGTTGAAACTCTTTAATCATCAGGGAAGTACAAATTGTAACCAACATGTAATACTTCTACACATCCACCAGAATAGTGTAAACAAGAGATTGATAAGCCAGTGGTTGTGAGTGTGTAGAGGATATACGGCTGGTGGGAGGGGGTATTGGAAAACTGTTTGGCATTATCTGCTGAAGGTGAACACATATATCTTATCCAACAACACAGGTGTACACATATGTGCATCAAACAACATACAGGAATATACAGAGCAATATTTTTTTACCCTGAAACTGGAAAAATCAAATACCTGTCGACAACAGGTATGAATAAATAAACTGATATATTCATATGATAGAATATTACACAGAGTAAAAATTACTGCTTCACAATCGTATGAATGGATATAGAAACATAGTACTAAACAAAAGTAATCAAACCTAAAAACACATAAAGTATGTTTCCATATATATAAAGTTCAAAAACAGGCATAACTAATCTGGTGATAAAAGTCAGAAGAGTGATTACCTTTGCAAGGTAATCTGGTAGAAAGGGGAGACAAAAGATACTTGAAAATTGCTTGTAATAATCCATTTCTTGTTCTGGTTGGAAGTTAAATGGTTGCATTCATTGTGTGAAAACCAGAGCTATACACTTAAAACATGTGTGACTTACTGTATGTAGTTTACTTCAGTAGAACCATTGAAATAGGAATTTGTGCCAGACTTTTAGAGAAAATTAAATGCTTCTATTATGTTGCTACTTATTTTAAAATTTGACTTAACATAATAGTGTTTATAAGTGCTGAATATTCCTATGTACTTATAATATACACAAATTTACAAATTTTGAAATATTTTTAAAAGATGTATGTATCTTACAGTTTAATTTATGGTCCAGGATTATATTTTGAAATAGAATTATAGCTAGTAAGCTTTAAAAACAGATGTATATCAGTTTTTAAACTTAGCTCTAGCTGTATTATAAAGTAAAAGTTCCTGAGAATTGTAATATTACTGGATGAGGTGAGGTCCGTATTTTGCAAACCATTTCATTTATTTTACTGCCTTTTTATTGGATAAGCAAAAACAGTGCTGTGCTACAGGGATTAGTTGTTTGTATGGCTAGACTATTTATCTGTAAAAAGTAAACTAAATGGAGCATTAGATCCTGATGTTTTCCTGATACTCTCTGCGTTTTGTCATTTATTACAGCATGAATCTAGAGAAACGTTACTGGGATTTAACATGGTGAATTATAGAGCATGCAAAAATTTGTGGAAAGCATGTGTAGAACATCACACATTCTTCCGTTTGGACAGACCACTTCCACCTCAAAAGAATTTTTTTGCACATTATTTTACGTTAGGTTCAAAATTCCGGTACTGGTAAGTATTGCTTTTGCACTAATGTTTTGTTACTGGATTTTTCCTCACTTTAAAATAAAGGTGTATTTTATTGAATCATAGAATGTTTATTATTCATACACACCTACCGAGTCAGAATCTCTGTGGAGTGTGGCCCGTTTGTCTACATGAGCCAAAAGTTCTAAAGGTTCTTGTGATTTAGCCACATGGGAGAAACCTCTTCCACTGACTATAATTTTGATCATGATTTTCAAAAGGAAATCAGTCATATTTAATTATTTACATTCCAGACATGCTATAATTTCCATTATGTCTTTGTTAAACATGTACAAGAAAATATTTGTTTTAAGACACCTTTATTTGTAAAAACAAAGGTATCTTCTTCATGAACATATAAGTTACTGGTTTCCCTCACTATCCAAAAGTAGAATGTCCCTGTAAAATGAAACCTTTCATAAGTCAAATGGCATAAATAAAGAAGTCATTACCATTGCTTATATAGAAAACTTTGTTAGCATTCTCAGACCCCCAAAATCACCTCTCACAGGCTTTTCTGTTACGTTAGGGCACATCTTGCTATTGAATGCACAAAATAAATTAAGATAAAGCACAGATGCTCACAGACACAGTTCAGAGCTTTGGCAGCTTCATGCTGAGATGCAGTGTGTGTCCCTGGGAAGGAAGTGGGGGGGGGGGAGTAGGGAGGAAGGAGCGGGAGCATTCTCGCTGCGTGCCAGGTGTGCTGCCTCTGCAGGGGCTCACTGTGGAACAGATGCTGAGTGCTGTTTCCTTGTTATTTTGTACAAGCAACGTGGCATAGCACAAACTTAGAAAATGCAGGAGATACCTGTACTTTGTTTTTTTATGTATGAGTTTGTTAAACCCTTTATTATAGAGTTCAAAACAGCTATTCTGCAAAAATCTCATTTACTCATTGAACAAAAACCCCAGATTGCTTTTCCTAAAACTATCTTATTATTGGTATCTTTTATCTTTTCCTAAAAGAAACAGTCTATGGGGGATAATTCTAAATTTGGAGAAGTTCTGATTAATTTTGCCTCTGTAATTCTTAAAAGACTCATGAAAGCTAGTTTTTAAGCGCAGCCTGGGAAGAATCAGATAGAAAAAGTTATTCATACTCTCTTACTAAAACAAATGTTAGCCATTTTTGTTTCTGCTTCACAAAATAATTTTTCCCATCTTCAGTAAATAAAACCTTTCATCATTACGTGTTAGATTATTAATTCATGTTCTATATTCATCCAGAAAATATTTAGATGTGGTCCACAAAAGATTTGTATTGTAAATCACAAACATTTATAAATGCCCAGTTTGTAATCTCAGAAAAAAATAACAGCATAAAGCCTAAGTACAAGATATACTATTAAAAATATATCCCCCCTGCCCCTAAAGTGGCCCTCAAATTTGCTAGCAACAACTTAAACAGAATTAGGAAACTTTTAACTACAAAAAAGGTACAGCAGAATTTTAAGTGATGTCATGTTTAACTCCTCTGTCACCCTCCTAAAAGCAATATTGAGAAAAGTAAGGTGATGTATCTCGTAAATTTGAAAAGAAATAGATAAGACCAAATATTAGATCATTGGTGAAAGGCAAGAAAAAAATTAAAAAGCCTTATCTACTGTAACTAAATCTCCCTAGGGACAGAAGAAATCTCCATTGAGAAAACAGTATAGACCATAATAGTAGTCCCTCATAAATTTAATTCCTAATTAAGTGACTATCAGGGTTATTATTATTATCCAAGGACAACTTATCTTTAGCAGAATTCTTCCTTCTCTCTGTCCTTAAAAATATGACCTACACATAAATGTACACACACCATTTCCTTTAGGTAACAAAGAAATGCATAGAATGTAGTGACCTGAGTTGAACTATATAGTTCAGACAGGTGTCAGAACAATGAGGAAAAAAATCCAGGAGTTTACCCAAACTGTACCATAGCACACAAAATCTGGTCTCAATGACAAGTACAAAAGACACTAAAAGAAACCAGTTTGGGATAAAATCACTGAAACAGAATGACATTTCAGCCACAGATGTTAATGAACACAAGCTTAAGAACAATCTGGGTCGCTTAGTCAGTTAAGCATCTGACTCTTGAATTTCAACTCAGGTCATGATCTCAGAGTTGTGAGATGGAGCCTCATTTCAGGCTCAGCTTTGCACATGGAACCTGCTTAAGATTCTTGCTCCTTGGATTATGGGCCTACTACTGGCAGATTTTATATTTCTAAACAGCTTTATTAAGGCATAACTGGTATACAATAAGCTACCATATTTAACATTTAAAATTTGGTATTTGGAGATGTATGTACGTCCATGTATATATGTCCATCACCACAATCGAGACAGCAAACATATTCTCCTGTTTTTCCCTTATGCTCCTCAGTAACCTCTTTCTTCCACCCTTCTTGTCCCCGTGCAACCAGTGATCTGCTCTGTCTCTACAGATGGGTTTGCATTTCATAGGATTTTATATAAATTGAAGCATGCGTGTTTCATACTTTTTTTTAGCCCAGCCTCTTTCTCTCAGCATAATTATTCTGAAATTCATCCACGTTGTTGCTGTATTGGTAGTTCATTTCTTTTTATTGTGGAGTATTTCACTGTATAGATAACGTGACAATTTATTTATCTCTTCTGTTGATTATGGATATTAAGTTACTGTTGTGTCCTCATTTGGGTTGTTTCCAGGTCTGGACTATTAAAATTAAAGCTGCTGTGAGGATTCATGTAGTAGTATTTATATGGTTTAACTTCCCTTGGTTAAATAACTTGTGAGTGGAATGGCCAGATCACATGGTAGATGTGTGTTTAACCTTGCAAGAAACTGCTGATTGTTTTTCCAAAGTCATTTTTACGATTTTGTGTACCCGCCAGCAGTGAGAGTCCAGGTTCATTACCTTTTCATCAGTGTCTTTTGTTATCTCTTTTGAAGAGTACATAGTTTTGATAAAATTTAATTTACCATTGTATTCTTTTATGGATCTTCCTTTTAGTGTCCTAAGAAACCTTTGCCTAACACAAGGCAGAAGAGATTTATTCCTCTGTTTTCCTTTAAGAGTTCTATAGCTTTAGTTCTTATACTTAGATCTGCGATCCATTTGGAAATAATTTTTGTATGTGGTATAAAGTGTGAATTGAAGTTCTTTTTTTTTTTTTGTTTTTGTTTTGCAGGTGGATAGACAGTTCTCCCCGCTTCCCTGCCCCACAAAGATTACCCTTTCTTTTTCCACTGAATTGCCTTTGCCCCTTTGTTGAAAATCAGTTTTCATTATTCGTGTGGACTTATTTCTGGATTTACTTATAAGTCTTAAAGTATATAGTAGGATTAATCCTCCAACTCTGTTCTTCTTAAAAGTTGTTTCAAATGTTTTAAGTCCTTTGCATTTTCATGTAAACTTTAGAACTAGCTGATCAATTTTTACAAGAAGGACTTCTTGGATTTTAATTGGGATTGTGCTGAAACTACTATTTTGGGAGCATTAACATCCTAAAAATACTAAGTTTTCAAAATCATGAAACATAGTATCTTTCATTTATTTAAGTTGTCTTTTATTTCTCTCCCTGGGTTTGTAGTTTTCAGTATACAGGTCTTTCACAAATTCACAAAGTTCACAGGTCTTTGCTAATTTTACCCTTAATTTTTTGACACTGTTGTAAATGGTCTTTTTAAATTTTAATTCATATTGTTCACTATTAAGGAGAAATGCAATTGATTTTTTTTATGTTGGTCTTATTTCAACAGCAAGGCTTTGCTTACCTCTCTTAATCCAGGAGCTTTTTTGTAGCTGCCAACAGATTTTCTCTCTAGACGATAAGGAGAGTTTTAATTCTTCCTCTCCATTCTGGTCCTTTTAATTTCTTTTTCTTTTCTTATTTCCCCAGCTAGAACCTCCAGTAAGCGTTGAATAGAAGTGGGGAGAATAGATACCTTGTCTCTTCCTTATCTTAGCAGAGGAAGGTATCCAGTCTCTCACTAGTAAGTGTGCCAGTGGTTGTAGGCTCCTTGTAGACGCCATATGCAGTGCATGTTGAGGAAGTGCCCCCACATCTCGTTTCCTGGAGGATTTTGTTAGGGTTGGTTATTGATTTCTGTCAAATGCTTTTTCTGCAACTGTCACAAAGAGTGTATGCCTTTTCTTTTTAAATTGTTTATATGATGAATTACATTGAGTTTCAAGTGCTAAACCCATCCCACATTCCTGGGATAAACGCCGCTTGGTCATGATCTGTCATCCTTTTCATACGTTGTTCTATTCACTTTGCTAACATTTTGTTTAGAATCTTTTCACTGTGTTCATGAAGGATATTGCTCTGTAGTTTTCTGGTAATATCATTGTCAGGTTTTGGTGTCAGGATAATTTTGGCCTCACTGAATGAGTTGGGAGATATTCCCTCATTTTCAGCTTTCTGGAAAAGTTTCTATAGTAATGGTATTATTTCCTTTTACAGTGTTTGGCAGAATTTACCAATTAATTCATCCAGGGCAGAAGTTTTGTTATAGGAAGCTTTTGAACAACCCATTCAAATTGTTCGGGTTTTTTTTTTTTAATTTTTAAAAAATGTTTATTTTTTTTAGAGAGAGACAGAGCGTGAGCAGGGGAGGAGCAGAGAGAGAAGGAGACACAGAATCCAAAGCAGGCTCCAGGCTCTGAGCTGTCAGCACAGAGCCCAATACAGGGCTCAAACCCACAAACCATGAGGTCGCGACCTGAGCCGAAGTTGGATGCTTAACCAACTGAGCCACCCAGGCGCCCCTCAAATTCTTTAATAGATGTAAAGCAGTTCAGGCTTTCTCTTTCTTGTCAGTAAGCCTTGGTAGTTCATGCTTTTTAAGGAATTTGTCTGTTTTCTCTAAGTTGTTGAACTTTTTGGCATAAAGTTTATAGTATTTTTTTTAATATCTCAGGAATCTGTAGTAATATCATTTCTTTCATCCTTGATATTGGTAACTTGTATCTTCTCTCTTTTTTTTCCCCTTGATCTATCTTTGCTAGAGGTTTATCAGTTTGGATTAAAATCTTTTAAACAGGGCACCTGGGTGGCTCAGTCGGTTAACCATCTGACTCGTGATTTTGGCTCAGGTCATGATCCTGGGATCGTGCAATAGAGCTTAGTGTGGAGCCTGCTTAAGATGCTGTCTCGTGGGGTGCCTGGGTGGCTTAGTCGGTTAAGCGTCCGACTTTCGCTTAGGTCATGATCTCACGGTTCGTGGGTTCGAGCCCCGCGTCGGGCTCTGTGCTGACTGCCAGCTCAGAGCCTGGGGCCTGTTTCAGTCTGTGACTCCCTCTCTCTGACCCTCCCCTGTTCACGCTGTCTCTCTCTCTCTCTCCTAGAAATAAATAAAAAACATTAAAAAAAAAAAAAAAAGATGCTGTCTCGTGTGCTCTCTCGCTCTCTCTTTCTTTCTCTCTCTTCCTCCCTCCCTCCGCCCTTCTTCCCCACTCAACTCGCACATGCTTTCTCTCTCTCTCTAAAAGAAGCAGAAAACAAAAAACTTTTAAACATTGTTAATGCCAAATAAAACTTTATTCAGGCTTATATGTAGCTGTGAGTCACCCTTTGTCTACCAAATCTTCAAGGAAAAAAAGTGACTGAAATCTTAAACTTACTAGTTTGCCATTCAATTCTAAAGTCAATAGACATTATCAAATATACAAAACCTCAGGGAATAAAGCATCTGTGACCCCGTCTAAACAATAATGATGCTTTTTAAAAAGATTTTATATTTAGATGATCTCCACTAACCCCAACATAGAGCTCTAGTTTATATCCCCGAGCTCAAGTGTCACACGCTCCTGTAAGTCAGCCAGGTACCCCCCAAAAATGTTTTTGTAATAAAATTAACCCATAAGAGATAAGACACCATGGTTCAAGAAGAATCTTGGTAAAAGAATTAAGAATGAAGCTTAAGTCCTTTAAATATAGAACTAACCCTTGACAACTGTCAGAATTATGACGACAGAACAGAATTAAAACACTATAAACATTGGTAAAGTAAAAATAATAGAACTAAGAAACAAGATGAAGCATGGGAGTAGTGGAAGTATAAGAATCCATATTAGCAAAAATTAAATGTGAACACCAACTGCTTAAGTTCTAGTCTGTCTGTCTTACCGTATACACACACACACACACACACACATTTATGAATGGCAGCCTTTTTCTTCTTTTATTTCAAAGGAAAATAGATTAATACTATTTTCATGAAAAGTGGCATATATTGCATAATAACACTTAACAGAATTATTTCCATATTTATAGCATTTTCTGTGTATATAGAGTTTTAGAATGATTTTTACCACTCACAATGGAGATTATTTCTTAGGGATAAGACAGGCTGAATTTGTCTTTTTTTTTTTTTTTAAATCTTGTAGTTATGCTTTTCTATATTGCTGAAATTACCTATAAGGAGCTTGTATTCTTTTACCAGCTGGCATTTTCCCATTGTTCTAAAGATAACTACTTACTGTCAGAATTTGGTATTCTTAGATTATGGTATATTTATGCATGTTGTTCTCATAATACTAAACTTCTCATGAGCAATATTATGGATAATATAAAACATAAACCTTTAATTGCTCCCTTATATTTCAATTTTTTTTAAAGTTTTATTTATGTAATCTCTACACTCCATGTAGGGCTCAAACTCATGACCCTGAGATCAAGAGTCACATGCTTTTTTGACTGATAGAGCCAGGCCTCCGTCATATTTCAATTTTATCTTCATGTTTTTTATTATGAAATTCAGCTTATTAATCCAGCCTTTTGAGTAATAGTGTCTCCTTTGAATCTTCTTCATTGGTAAATTAAGGTATCAGGGAAACAGAAAGGCTTTTTGATTTTTCTAATAAAAGCAATTTAATTAAGGGAGTTGGTTGCACAGGTATTAGGCCGGCAAAGCAAAAGGGAGAGGAAGGTTATAATGCAGTAACCAGGAGGACTGGGAAATGCTTAAAGATCAGAAGCTTGTGTTATATCCATAAGCCTGGACCTGTGACGCCAGTGTTAGAGCCACTGTCACAGTCGGTGCTGGGCCTGCACGGCAGGTGCTTCTTTGCAGGGTGGCATGTAACATTGACAGGGTGCTCTTTCTCTTAGTGTCCTGTGACTGTTAGAGCAGCTACAGCGTTTGTCAGGCTCCCGCTTTTAACTTACTCTACTTTGTGATCTCCCGCCAGAAGAAAAGTAGAACCTGAGAGAAAGCCAGCTTATAAAGGGACCTAGAAAATGGAGTTTGCTGACTGGCAGCCTCCTATAAAACATAGTGGAGCATGGAAGAACAGGATTGAGGCCCCTAACAGCTCAGTTAACATTAAATTAAGTCAGTGTGTATAAGTAAACCGTACACATTTATAGTTGTAAAAGTTAAGTCTTGTTTGTAGTCCTTTAGAACTTTAAAAATATATTGAAAGCACTTAAAAAATGTTTATATATTTATTTTGAGGAAGAAAGCAGGAGCAGGGATGGAGCAGAGAGAGAGGAAGAGAGAGAATCCCAAGCAGGCTCCACTGTATCAGTGCAGAGCCTGATGCTGGGCTCAATCCCACAACCATAAAGCACTTCTTAATCATCAAAATGATTAATAATCTTATGATTGAGGTAGGAATGGCAGCATGACAGGTGTTTATCTGGACACAGTCCTGCCCGAGTGAGTATGCATTAAATAAATATTTTTTCTCTTATTATAAGCAGTGGTTAGAAATACTAGAACTATTGTAATAATTACAGTGTTGAAATATTATTTAGACTAAGAGATGGAATTTGGATTATCAAAGGATTTATTATTTCCTCCACCAACCTACCCAAACACACACCTTTATTATCTCTGTTCCAAAATATCCAAAGGATTAAATCATTGTTGTAATGTGGAAATACAAAACAATAATGAACCTCAGCTTGTTACCTTGTTGACAATTGCAAGTATTTTCTTAAGAAACTTAAGCGTACCTAAGTTTAAAAACCATGGTTACGTTTTGGACTTTTCCATTAAAATGTCAACAGATAGGGGTGCTTGGGGCTCAGTCAGTTAAGCATCCAATTTCGGCTCAGGTCATGATCTCATGGTCCATGAGTTAGAGCCCCACATTGGGCTCTGTGCTGACAGCTCAGAGCCTGGAGCCTGCTTCAGATTCTGTGTCTCCCTCTCTCTCTCTCTCTCTCTCTCTCTTCCTCCCCTGCTTGCACTCTGTGTGTGTGTCTCTCTCTGTCTCAAAACTAAATAAACATTTAAAAAAAATTTTCACTTCAACATAAAGACCATTTTGTTCACATTTATCTGTACTTATTTATGGAAGATGATCTTAAAATTGTTTGCTTTGTTTTGGAAACCTGTATTTGGCTGCTTTTATATGAATTAGAGATCTACATATAAATGGTTCTATTTGACACACTAGACATTTATGTCTATTCACACTTAAATAATATGACGTGTCAAGTAGCAACAAGTTTTTAGTAACAAATTTGGTCTGAACACCTTGGTTTACCACAGAGGAGGCCCAATTTCCATGCATAAACTGTGTGCTTGCTAGACAGATCAGCTTCAAGGCAAATCATAGTGCCCAACTCTCAGTGATTTTTCAGTCCTTGGTTCCTTCCTGTATATGAAAGTCCAGAGTTGCCTGTGTCTGGACAAGGAAGGATTTGAGAATACAGTCAGTCTTTGTATCTGTGATCATTACCAGTAGACAAGGAAGAAAAGCCCCAGGAAAGAGCAGCTCTTCAAGACACCCCATATTCTCCTTCATTGAGGAGTAGTAGAGAAACCAGCTAAACCACGGACCAACTTACGGGGGGAGAGTGACCATCATTCTCAAATAAAACAAGTACCTAAAGTGAAGTGTCTGTGGAACACATCTTTGTTCATGAGTGGGAGAGCTGTAAATCAGCTTCATCCATTCAGGTAGAGCTGGAATTCAGTCCACTCTTTTTTTTCTTGCCCTCTGCTCCCTTTTCTCTGCGAGAAATTTGTCTCTTATGAAGTTGTAATATAATCATGTTGTATGTTATTTTATCTTATAATTCTCTTGAAGGTTTTATTATATGCATGTTTATGTATTTCAGTGGGAGAACTGAAGTCCAGTCAGTTCAGTATGGCAAAGAAAAAGCAAATAAAGACAGGGTATTTGCAAGGTAAGCTGCCTCTGTTTCAGTGCCTGCTTTTTTCTTAAAGGAAGTTACTAAAAACTCTTTTTCCAGATTGAATTACAGAATGATCACATGATCGTCTATTTAATTAAACAATAAGTTACGTTGAGGGAGTAATGAAATAATTTGTCTATTCATTCCCTGTTTTGGTTTTTTATGTGAGCTAAGTTAACCCTGTGTCAAGCATTGTAGTTCTGACCACGCTGAATCAAATACTACATTATTAATGTAACATATTTTGGAAAGTGTAGTTCCTTTATTTTTTTAACGTTTTTGAAAAACAATGGTTAATTTCATGTATTATTCAGCCCATTTCCATATTTTTTACATCATCTTGTTTAAGAAAGAAGTTAATTTTGGGGGGGAGCCATTCAGTTATCTTGATATTTTTAGGAGCTATTGCTTTTAAACAAGTGAAACAACATGACATGGTTTGTTTTAGAAAATGGCTTTATGAGCAATGATGGAGAATGGATTAGCAGCAAGGACTTGGTACTAAGAGACCAATTAGGTTATTGGCAGTAATCCCAGTGAAAACAATGAAGGTCTGAACTAAAACACTGGTGATGAAATGGAGAGTAGGGAACAAATTTGAGGAACGTTTTGTAGGTAGAAGTAACAGAAGTTGTTAAATCAATTAGATGGAGGTGTGTTAGAGACAAGAGTATCTGGAAAGACCGTCAGATTTGAGTGACAGAAAATGTACAAAGGGATACCAGAAAGAGAACAAATTTGTAATGGAAAAAGTCGTTAAACTGGCACAGGTCTAGCGTGAGATACGTGAGCAGCAATCTAATAGGATTATCCAATAAACAGAAGGAGAAAGAGTGACCAAATCAGTGGCACCAAATATTTATTGAAGACCTACTCTCCTGAGCATATGTCAGGTCCTGGGAATAGAATGGAGAACAAGATACACATCTTAGTGCCATGGAGCTTAAATTCTGATCGGCGCAGCAGATATCTAATGTATGTGACACATTGAGCCAGTGTAAGGCCATGGAGCAGGAGCCTGCTTGTCATGCGTGAGGAAGAGTAGGCAGGCCAGTCATGGACCATCGGTAGAGAAGGGGAGGGGAGGTAGGCAGCAGCCAGAACTTGTATGACCCTGTGTTCGAAATAGAAAGGACTTTGGATTTAAGTGAAAGCCAGTGGGAACTGAGAGCACTGAAGAGATATAAATGAATTTGAATTTTTAAGAGTCTGGCAGAGTTGTTTTGTTTTATGGTGGTAATCTGAAGTATTTACAAATACCATGATTTCTAGGATTTGCTTCAGAATCATTGGGGTGAGAGGACTCAGGTAAATGTAGAGATGAATGAAACAAAGTTGACCATGATGGTAATTGTTGGACCTGGGTCCTGAGTGCAGTGTTTATTAAACTGTTCTCTCTACTTTTGTTTATACTTAAAATGTTCCAGGGGCACCTTGGTGGCTCAGTCGGTTAAGCGTCCAACTTCAGCTCTGGTCATGATCTCACGGTTTGTGGGTTTGAACTCCGCGTTGGGCTCTGTGCTGACAGCCAGCTCAGAGCCTGGAGCCTGTTTCAGATTCTGTGTCTCCCTCTCTCTCTGACCCTCCCCTGCTCATGCTGTNAAGTCTATAATCTAATGGGAGAAACAGAGTAAACAAATAAAAAAGGTCATGACAGACTGCAGTCATTGCTAGGAAGGCCGTAACCATGGTAACACAATAGGAAGTAACTAGGGAATATCTACTTTAGATATGACTGAACATGTGCGGGCTGCCTGGGTGGCTCAGTTGGTTAAGTGTCCGACTTCGGCTCAGGTCATGATCTCACAGTTTGTAGGTTGGAACCCTGCATTGGGCTCTGTGCTGACAGCCAGCTCAGAGCCTGGAGCCTGTTTCAGATTCTGTGTCTCCCTCTCTCTCTGACCCTCCCCTGCTCATGCTGTCTCTCTCTCTGTCTCCCCCCTCTCTCTCAGAAATTAAAAAAAAAAAATTAAAATGTTCCATAGTAAAAATATGGGGGGTTAAGGGATCACTCTGGCTGCTGTAACAGAATCAGCTGTATAGGCGTGTGAGCAGAAAGAGGATAACCAGGTAGCATAAGAGGGGCTAACATTTATTTTGTATTTATCTGGGGCAGGAAATGTATCTCATAGTCCCCACAGTTCAGTGAGGTAAATTCCATTACAGATGAGAAAACCGAGCACAGCACGTTTGAATAACTTACCTAAAATATTAAGGGATTCTCACACAGGCCTCCCTGCTCTTACCCACACTTTTACCCTCTACAGAATAGGTTTGCTGTTCTGAGTGAGATAGGTGAGCGCTTGGTGATGTGAGCAGTGACCCCCTTTATTGGCTATGTCCCCCACTTGAATGCAGGCTACACGAGGGTGGAGTTTTCTCTGTTCTATTCACTGCACTAGCCCCCACTCTTTTAATACTGTGTGCAGTATGGTAGATGGCTTTTAAATGAGCACTGTTTTCAGTGGAAATGGCTTACAGAGGGCAAGTCCTTAACGAGTTCATGTGTTTGGTATCTACTGTCATTGGAGGCATAAGGGTTTTAATAAATTTTAATGAGAGATTTTTGCTTTTGCTTTTATTTTTAATTTTACCCTTAGTCTTTATCAAAAAGATCTTCCTGTTTTGCGTTTCTAAAGTAAAAGAAGTTTTTGTTTTTTCTTTTTTTCTCTCCAAAAGTAAAAATTGCTTTATTGTTTTTTCTGCTCATATAAGTGACACTTCATTATGTTTTAAAATTCCAGCATGCCAGTATTTTTATCTAGCAGGGGATCACCATGATTGGACATGGCTCTCTCAGGGAGAGGCTTGTCCGCTGTCGTCAGGCCATTCTGAGTCCTGCAGTTGCCCCAAACGTGGGAAACTCACCTGTATTCGAGGTTTCCCCTGTTTAAAATAAAGAAAAGAAAAGAAAATTCCAACATGCCAAATAACATAAAAAAAATATGAACCAAAACAGTTATTTTAAAAATTTTTGGTATTTACTATTCAGGGTTTTGCCATGTGTATACTCACAGATTTATAGATCTATAGGTGTCTATAAATATATGCAGATATATATGTATCTCATAAGGCTGAATCAAATATTACATTATATATTATATGTATTACATTATATAGATCCAATTTTTAAATACATTCTATATTATGTTAATATATATCAAATTATATATAATACATTATATTACAAAAATTATTTTCTTCTTTTTACTGCTTATTTTTATCACGTAATGTAGGCATTTTCTTTGATGTTGAAAGATCTGCAGTCATTTATGTCACTAAATCCTTTTTCCTAAACTATAGGTTTAACTTGATGATTCTTCTTTTAACCTGTCACTTCCCTGCCTCTGGAGTTGGAGTCATTGCTAAGAATATCTTATGCTCTGCCAGCACTGTGCCCTGAGTGCTTATACAGATGAATAATAAATAATATTGTAAGCTCCTTGGAGTAAGGACATTTGAAGCCAAAAGTTACTAAAACACAATTTTTATGTGTTCGGATAATAAAATTAACTTGCTTCCCCGTCTCCCCTTTCCCGGCTTACCCCCATCCTCATTTATGTATGAATGAATGATCTACCCCACAGGAACACTGTCTGAAAATGCCTTGGAAGATTTAGCTGGTCAGGGTGATATAGCATTTTGCTGTCATAAATTCACTTGAATTTGGATGATACAGTTTATCTCAACATTTGTTATAAATTTTGAATTTGGTTGTTACATCTTTTTAGATTTATGAGGGAAATATTGTCATTTTTCTATTAACTATAAATCTTAGTGTCATGTTAATGGTTGTTGGGTTACTTGGTGTTGGGGAAGGGAGAAAAGAAGAAAGTAAGAACAGAGATGTCTGCTCTAATAGACCTGGCTGCTGAAATCATGCAGAGTCCTCCCTCTGACAGTCGTAGACACCCTTGTTTCCAGTTAGAGAGTCCTGAGTACCTGTACGAAGGTAAAATGTACAGAAAGTTGTTTTGAAATTATTTTCCTTGAAATTTCTCAATAAAATAATTTACTTCCTACTAACTTTGTTGTTTTAATTTAAAATATATGCTATCTCTTAGTACTATGACTTACTGCACCATTCCCTTCAGATTTGTTAAAATCAAAATAAATATTTTTCTGAATCTTTTCTTTTAAAAATGTACCTAACAAAATACTTAGCTTTTTACTTCTTTTCCTAACAAGAAGCTTGAATTTTTTCTTGCTTGATATTTGTAAAAATAGTGAACATGATTTGATAACTCGTTCTACTGTAGTATGATACCCCAATACGAATATCACATTATACATGTACTTATATATTAATGTTAATATCACTCAAAGGACTTTCTCTATAAGTGTTAATGTTTGAATATTTTGATCATGTGTGGCTTTGAGAAATATGCACAATTATACCTGCATCTTAGTTCTTCATTTTGTATGTGCATTATTAAAATGGGAAAGTGTGTAATAGGTTATTTTATAAAACAACTATGCATTATTTAAGGAGTAGTAGAGCTAGAATTCCAGTATGAAAAGTCCCAAATATCTGTCCCACATCATTTGTTATGTGGAATTCTATGAATCCTCCTGAAAATAAGAAGTCATCATCAGGGACAAAGTTTTATTTAGTAAGACTGTTTTAATGATCCTGCCATCTCCAAAAGTCTTAAGCTTTTCTGGGGTTGTTTTTTATAATATGTCACAACCGTATTGTTATGACCTGATGCATATCTACCAAAATACTCAAATGGTTGTAGCAGTTGTTAAGTTATTCTGTTATTAAAGTATTAGAGAATTCTGGAGTTCTTGTCCACTTCCTAGAATTTTAGTTGATGGTTACATATTTCTCCTTAAACTTTTCATATAAGATCTTTTTTTTTCCAGCAACAATGAATATGTTAATATTTTTTGTTCTGATATCTCAACTTTTTGAATTGCTTTCACATTTTTCAATTGTCATATAATATCTAAGAAGAAAACAAAAGAATGTTCACGTGTAACAGAAAAATAAAGTGCCATGGTCAGAAAATATATTTACCACATTGCAAACACACTGATGAAGTGTGGTATTTTTTTCTCTGAAATTTCCACACTCAACAGGAAACATAGACAGCAAGCTTGAGTGGGTGGGTCTCTGAGGTTAAAGCTGTTAATAAAATACTTGAAATTTAGTTTTAAGCGCAGAGCATTTCCAACCATGATTAGTTTATTAACGACAGTTAAGTGTTCTGACACTTTATACTACTAGGTGAGTAGAATTGGATTTTTTCCTCTTCAGATGACTTTTTCCCTCTCCTCAAAAATGAAAGTAGTCGATCTCTTAACTGTGGTTATGCAGTCTTGCAGCTAACATTTAGTAGTCTAATGTATGAGAAACAATGCTTATTAACTCTGAGAATTAGCATTAGAAGAGCAATAAGTGGCTAGGGTTTCTTTTAATAATCTTCATTTTAAAAGTGAAATGCATGAAATAACATAGGGTTTTTGTTTTTGTTTTTTTCAACTTAATTGTGACTAATAGGCATGAGTTTGTGTGGCACTATTAGGAGATTGGACTAAATGGTGTCCCGAGTTCTCTTCAAGTAAGAAAACCCAGTAATTTGAATTCATTTATGAAAAACGAAATCTGAGCCAGTGCTTATTTTTAAATCAATAGCATTATAGCTCTCTTACGAAATGCTCTATGTTCTTAAATTAAGGAAATGTCATTAAGCCAAACTAAAAAAGGTTTTGGCTATGAATACCCAAAATGGGGCACTTTTGTGGTTTGGATTCATAAGTGATTTAAGTTACTTGTGGTTTCATAAAATTAATAAACTGAAACATTGCACTGAAAATTTAGATACTCATAAAATGTAGGATGTGGGGGAGAACCTAGGCTCATACATTGTACTGGTAAATATCAATATTTAGACATAGATACTTAAGTGATTTGTCTCATAGAAGGGTAAAATGAGGACCCTCCACTCATCATTATTCTAATACTTCCTACTATGTAAATTTTGAGTATTCTTGGTACGTGTACTATGCTTTTTAGAAATAGAATTTTCTATGTGCTTCAGTGAATTTATTAATGTAATATAGAACTATCAGCTTACAAGATGATTTATTATGTGTTTTTATGTAAGTAGCTTAATTCCATTTATTAGCCTTCATATTAACTGTGCATGTCAAAAAGTATGTATTTAAGGTATTTAAGTAGATGTCATATGTATTTCCATGAATTTTGGCCATTATCTGAATTGGAATATAAAAAAGACTTTCATTGTTAACTTACCTAAATTCTAAAGATTTCTGATCTTTGCAAAGGTCAGTATCTTTTCTGAAAAGATTATAGTACTCATCTTTATCACTATGGTAGCTGACAAAATATAGATAGGTAAGAAAACAATCTTCTACTCCCTCCCATGAGACAGAATCATTAACCATCTAAATGACGGTTTTTGGAAAAACAAAACAAAAAAAATCCACTAGCCTACTATTATAAATAAAATGGAAAAAATACATAATCATCCTTTTTGCCATGTTCTCTGTTGAGGCAGAGAATCAGGGATTGGATTTAAGGCTTAAGCATATTCAGGAGATAATATGTTAGCTGTTGTTTAATACATCACAAGATGACTTAGAATTTCAGAAACTCTGGAATAGGCAATATATATAATATTCATATATGAGATAATTTGGTAGCCAACTGTTCATTTGCTTTTTTCCTTTCTTCTTTAGTTTCTTGTTTCTTCTCTTTTTCTCCTATTTCCGAGTCTCTCTTCTACTCTTAGCATATCTTTCCTTCCTTCTTCATACAAAGCAGATTTAATTTCTTAGGAAATTGTGAGGTAAATAGCTGCCGAATGCATTAGTTTCATTGAAGTAAGCTATGTTTACTCATCTAGAATATGACACATTCTAAGATTTGGTTTATAGTTGGAGGTATACAAATAAAAATTTTTACATATTATGTCTACAGATCCCCAAGCAAGCCCTTGGCACGGAAATTAATGGATTGGGAAGTAGTAAGCAGAAATTCAATATCTGATGACAGGTTAGAAACACAGAGCCTTCCATCACGCTCTCCACCTGGAACTCCTAATCAGTAAGTACAGACTAACATCAGGTGTATATTTTGCTAATTTCTAAATTATTGACTGTATATTTCCATTGCCTAAAGATCGAAATATGTAAATCTTTACATTTAAATCTCTTAACCAAACAAATTTTTGTTGCTCCATAGCATCATTTCCTCATAGCCTGCAGCTTACTGCGTGAATGGCATGGAAAAGCCTCTGAATGAGGCAGCAGAATTTTGAACAAGGATGCTCACTATCCATATAGTATGGGTCTCTAGCCAATAAAGCAAGCTCTGTTAGTAGACTTAAAATCTGGAAATAATGGTTGTTACTGACATAATCCTTTTTTATTGGCTCTCAAACAGAATTTTTGGGGGAGCATATATTCTTTGAAAATGCTAAATGATTGTGTTTATCTTGCTTTATCTCCTGCCCCAACCACTGTTCCACCACTTTCTGTTGTCTAGAAAAAGGGGTTTCCAACTTCCAACATAAGTTCCTACAAGCTTAGCTATATCTATGCTAAGAAGCCTGTGTTACTCAGCACTTACTGTTTATATACTTCTATTATTTCGTACAAAAACTGTATGCTTTGGTATAGATAATAAAGATAAATAATTTCTTATAAAAGCTGTATGCTTTTGTACTGGTCAAAGATGTTAATTTTATCATTGTTAACAAATGTGTTTAATATATGGCTATAAATAAATAATGATAAACACATGTCAGCGTATTCACAGACCTTGTTCAACCAACAAGTTGAATACAAAATATTTGAATTTTGGTATGGAATATAATCTTTGAAGAAGTCTAACTTTGGAAATACTTTATATACATTAATGCCCAATAAGTGTATAGTAAATTCTAAAAGTTGTATCACCCATGGGTGTTTGTCAGCCCAAGAATAAACTTCCACCATATTGAAAGTAAAGTATGTATACATAAATAGTTTGGTTCAGGGAACATTATCTCATACCTTAGTGTCTTCCTTCTTTTTCTTTTAATGTTTGTTTTTTTTTTGAGAGAGCGGGGGAGGGGCAGAGAGAGAAGGAGACCGAGGATCTGAAGCGGGCTCCTTGCTGACAGCATAGTGCCCAATGCGGGGCTCAAACTCCCCAACTGCGAGATCATGACCTGAGCTGAAGTCAGACACTCATCTGACTGAGGCTCCCAGGGCCCCCCACCCAATGTCTTCCTTACTGCTAGAAAAGATAGACTCAAAAGGTTTTATGTTTCTAGTCGCATATTGCTAAATTATCTTTCTTTATAAAATACTGCATATATTCAGAGGCTAATCAACTGTTTGAAGAAAATTCAGAAACATCTTTTTTGGTCCCTTTTCCAGGCAGCCATTTTTCCATATAAAAAAAAAAAAACAAAACTTTTTTTTAATGTTTATTTACTTTTGAGAGAGAGAGAGAGACAACAAATGGGGGTCGGCCAGAGAGAGTGGGAGGGGGAGACACAGAATCTGAAGCAGGCTTCAGGCTCTGAGCTGTGTGCTGTCAGCACAGAGCCCAATGTAGGGCTTGAACCCACGAACCGTGAAATCATGACCTGAGCTAAAGTCAGATGCTTAACTGACTGAACCACCCAGGCACCCCATCCATTTGTTACTAGTATCTCTAAAAATTGCAGCAAATTGCAGAAAACACAAGAAATTGTTTGACAGAAGACACAGGAAAGATGATTAAATTAATTGGCAGTAACTTGATTAAATTTCCTGGTTAATGAAACAAATTTTATTTGGTTTTATGTTTTAAGATTTATTTATTTTTGAGAGAAGAGAGTGCGAGCTCAGTCAACATGGTTAGTCTTAAAACCACACATCTACATTCTAATGTAATCATACAAATAAAAAACTGGAAAAAAATTTAATTAAAGCACATTTTTGACTCAGTTTTTTTTCCCCTCTTCATGTAGTCGAAATTCTGCATTCACACAAGAAGGAACCCGGTTACGACCATCTTCAGTGGGTCATTTGGTAGACCATGTGGTTCACACGTCCCCAAGTGAAGTGTTTGTGAACCACAGATCTCCATCTTCAACACAAGCTAACAGCATTGTTCTGGAATCATCACCGTAAGACCTTTTCCATTTAGCTTCCTTCTTATAAACAATAATGCCCCAAATTGTTTTCTTTGAAATAATCTGGAAAATTAGGGTGTTTGATACATGTATTTATTTATGCAGTGTTTTAAAATTTTATGTATTTGTAAATGTGCTTATTTGTCCCTGAGAGTTCTTTGTACTCCTCCCACAACCTAAACAAACAACTTTTTTTTTTCATTAATCCAGTATGTTCTTGAAACTTTTGTGCACACACTGAAATGTTTGTTCAGATGTAGATGCCGCACTGTGATCAGATAGTAAGGAACTAAAAGTAGAGTTTTTAATATTTTTCAAGAAGGGAACCATAAGAATGAATAGGTAATGAATAGAAAATGATGGAAAAATTATTTAGCAAAGGAGAACCAAGTAAGATGACTATCATACTGAAAGTAAGTCATAGAAAGTATGCACACATCATTTTTAAAACTCATTTTCTCTCATATTACATACTGGCACATAAATTCAGCTTCATAATCCAGCATTTATACCCCTCAGTTTCATGCACAACATACTTATCCTCACATTAATATATAAGACCTTGACCTACTGGTTTATATAATGTCATTAGTCCATATGCAAGTAAAAATGCAGTGCACGAATTAGAAAAGTGAAATTCTTTACAAGAAATGTAGATAAGTAAAAAGGATTCCCTTATTGTTGAGAAGGAGGAAGGTGTAGAATGTAGTGACTGTGATCCGTCCTGAAGAAAGGACGGGTCTGAGAGGGGTGGGTGGAAGAGGAGATGGACTGATCAGCACAGCAGGTCGGTGCAGGAGTGTGGGGTCATGTGACAAGACACAGAGAAAACCGTTGTCCTCACTGTAGGGGCAGCCAAGGAAGACTTGCGAAGCCATTAAGACACGTGGAATTTAGTCTTGGTAACACGTCTTAGTAAAACATTTTGATTGTGTGTGTGTAGTAAAAAGGATGGAAGGACAGGAAAGATACGCCCTGCACAATGACACCTGTGCAGAATGAGTTGACAGGAGACAAGATTGATGGAAATTTTGTTTTTGATTACTTCAAAAATTAGCATTATAAACTCTGATTTTTAGTTAACAAGCATATATTTTCTAATTCTGAAACTTTAAAAAGTATAATAATTAAGAACATGATCGAAATGTTAATTGATTAAATTTAAAATTGGCATAATTTGAGCAGATAGAAATAAACCATATAGAGGAATCTCAAAAGTCTGTCTTGTTACAGAACAATAATACCACTCCCAGGACCTAACCGAATTGTCTCCATCCAGTTTTCAAAGGGCCTTTTTTGTAAAGACACACACATACGTGTGTATATATATATATATACACACACACATACAATTGAGTGTTTCCATATGTAAATTTTATGGGTTCACCAATCCAAAAAAACCTTTGTTCCGGTTTCCTGAATTTAAGTGCAGATGCAAGTTTAGGATAGATTGGAATTGTGCTGTTTTTGCTTCCCCATCCGGATCCACAAGAATTTCAAATGCTTGGATCTTTATCTTTGGATATGTAGTTTATGAGATTTGTGTATTTTGTATTCAGTCTTGAATCTCTAACACTGCATTTGAAATCCAGCCAGTTTTAACCTTAAGGATAATGAGAGAGTTCTGAAAAAATAAGCTTAATGGTAAACAAATAATTTATATTAACTGTTTACAATCAGCTTTTTCATAAATTGTCTCAATGTTGAAGAGAACTCAGTGAAATAGAAAAGACTTTTATTCCGCATTTATAGATGAGAAGGCCCCACTTAACAGGACTTGTCCCAAATTATAGAACTAAAACTCAGGTCTTCCCTATCTGACCCAGCAGAATTTGTATGCTAGACAAGGCTTCGTTGATTGATTGATCAGTTGGTTGGTTGGTTGATTTTTGCAATTCAGGGAAAATATTTTGCAACTTGGAATCTATAGGATTTAGTTTTATATTGGCCAAATGTGAAAAGAATTCAGACAGTGTGTCAGATGAAGCACAAAGCATTTCAACATGTATTGAAATAGATCTTGAGATCATCTCACCAGTCCCTAGTTTTTGAGTGAGTATAGGGCCTTTGAGGTGAAACCTCAGCCCTGACTTTAATCACTGCGTCAGGTCATCTTCCTCACAGGACGAAAACACTGCTAACTCATAGGTGTGTTTATTATGGAAACAAATAGGAGGTTGTTTGTACTGCTTAGAATAAAGTTACCATTTATAGGCAGAGGTAATTGAAACTACAGTCTGCCATTTCCTTCCTTCCTTTAAATGTTTCACAGAGAATTAGACTGTTTGAGTTTGTGATTTTCTGAGAAAAACAATAATCCTAAATTAACTTGAAAATACTTAACAGGTGTTTATTTTACTAAATTCATATTTTAGTAAATTCAACAGGTGTTTATTTAGTAAACCCACAAATATTAATATACTCCTGTCAGTATGTAAGAGGGAAGTTTGGACATTTCTACAAAATCATCACAAAGCATGTGAGTTGGGTGGTTAAGATTTTATTAATAAAATTTTTTTTAATGTTTATTCATTTTTGAGAGAGAGTGGGAAACACAGAATCTGAAGCAGGCTCCAGGCTCTGAGCTGTCAGCACAGAGCCCAGTGCAGGGCTCGAACCCACAAACCACGAGATCATGACTTGAGCTGAAGTCAGACACAACCAACTGAGCCACCCAGGCACCCCTAAGATTGTATTTTTTTATTTTGATGCATATTGCTAAGGGCAGCAACAGAGAGCTGCTTTGACTGCAGAATAAGCTGCTTTCATTGCTGCTGTTGAAGTATTCATGAGGAAATTTAAAGCTGACTGGACTCAAGTAAATCAGCAAACCTTTCGCCTCTCTGGCTTGATTGACAGTTTTAACAATTTTTTTGATGCATTGTTACAATATATTGCTGTGTCCACAGCAAAGTGCACTTAAAAGTAACATTTTCATTATTTTTTTAAATGTCACAGTTGAAGATAAGCAAGTTACAGTGAAACCTTGGATTGTGAGTAACTTGAGTAACTTGTTGTCCAAGTGTTCCGCAAGATGAGCAAACATTTCTTTAAAAACATTTAAAGATAATAATAAAACATTTAATGTTTTATTTATTTTTGAGAGGGAGAGAGAGAGACAGAGTGTGAGCAGGGGAGGGGCAGAGAGAGAGAGAGAGGGAGACACAGAATCCAAAGCAGGCTCCATACTCTGAGCTGTCAGCACAGAGCCCAGCTCGGGGCTTGAATTCATAACCTGCAAGATCATGACTGGAGCCAAAGTCAGATGATCAACCGACTGAGCCCCCCATATGCCCGAATGAGTGAACATTTCTAATAATTTTAACTTCATAAATGACCGATGTCTTACAATATGAATAGTATGTGATGCCAAATGTCACATGACTACAACTGAGCTAATGGTTCTCTCTCTCTTCTCACTGAGGGATTGTCGGTGTTCATCTCCTTTGCTCAGATGCTCAGTCTCAGACTGTGGTGTCTGGCCGAAATCCATGATTTTTCAGAATGTTGGAAGGTGCACACAACTGGCACTAGTGTATTTTTTGTCATTTTAAAGCTCCTATGGACAGTTCTTTGCTTTTCCATACAAGAGAAGGCTTAGGAATGCTTTGCTTCATTCTGGGTCAGGCTGCCTGCAGGTACAGACCCTTTCCTCTGCTGCCTTATTGCCAGTTACATTATTATTATCATTTTAAAAAATCTGGACAAAGATGAGCTTTATGCCAGTTACATTAAATATTGTCATATTAATCCTAACAAGAGTTTATTAATGCAGTACTGTAGTCAGCATATACAGTGGCCCCCATGCAGAATAAATTCCATTGAACCAATAGAGAGCAGTGATTCTTTTAGTGATAGTGAAAGTCATCTTATACAATAACTCTCCTCTCTCTTGTCTCCCTCACACAAGCCACGAAGGTTTTCAAAGGTCAGTGCAGGTTAATTTGTTTATTTTTCTTTATATTTTGTATTTTCTTATTGTTTTGTATTATATTACAGTATTATAATCATTTTTATATGAATATTTTGGGATTGTGGAACAAATCATCTGAGTTTCCATGATTTCTTATGGGGAAAGTCGCTTTGATATTACAAGTGCTTTGGATCACAAGCATGTTTCTGGAATTCATGATGCTTGTAAATCAAGGTTTTACTATATTTGTATTGAAAAACCCTACTATGAGAACTGGGCTTTGGAACACTTTTGGAATTCTATTCTCCTCACCCTTTCCCTGATATTCTCATCACCCTTTACCCCGTTCTTGATGTCCAGAAGTTAATACAAGTAGTACTTTTTCCTCCAGATTCTTTTGTGGGTAGATTTTGAACATTATGTTTCAAGCTTTGGTCCCACTCAACCCCCACCCCTCCACAGTAGTTTAGGCAAATTATTGGTTTTAAATCTATTAACACCATTGAGTTAGAACTATGTTATGAGAATTTAGAATATAGGCGTGTTACCACTTATAACCAAATGGCATGATAGAAAATAGTCTTGGGATATGCTCTGGTAAGTTCTGTTGAGGCCTCAGATACGCTCCAATAGGAAGGTTGTTTAGCTCAGACTGGTTTCTAAATTGGCCCCTGAGAACCATTTTATTTGGAGAAGAGTCCACTGCTGGAAATAATGTGAAAACCTCTGATGTAAAATAAAATAGCTCTGTTCCTGTTTTTTGCAGTTGTTTTGATTAAAGTACAACTATAACATAATGTTAAGAGCTCTGGATTCAGACTGGCTTTAAAACTTGGTTCCACTATTTCTAATTATGTGACCTTGGATGAGTCATTTTATCTCTGTAAGCCTCAATTTCCTCATCTGTAAAAACAGGATGATAATATCTACCCCGTAGTGTTGCTGTGAAATTGAATGAGATGAACAGTTAAGCAGAGAAAAAGTGCTTGGTAGATATTAACTATAATAATTGTGTAATTTTAGTTACTTTGGGAGGATATACTAGTAGGCAGCCTTTAATGTGTTATCACCCATTTATCTG